GCGGATAAGAAGTACGATCCCGCGCGGGACGGCGGCTTCTCTTCGTCAGAGGAGGACAGTGACAGTGATGAGGAGGTGGAGGTGGAAGAGGAAGTCGATGAGGCAGCACTCTTCCCTTCAAAGGCCGATGAGGTTCCTTTGGGAGAGATTTCCTCTCGGCTGGCGGTGGTCAATCTCGACTGGGACAATATCCGCGCCGTAGACCTTCTCGCCGTGGCATCGAGCTTCGCACCCGCAGACGGCAAGATCATCAACGCGATCGTTTATCCAAGCGAATTCGGGCGAGAGCGCATGGACCGTGAGGAGCTGGAAGGACCGCCGCGGGAGATCTTCAACAATAGCAAGGCGAATTCAGATTCAGATACTGAGTCAGACGCCCAATCAGGAACCGAGGACGTCGATTCTGAAGACGAGGAAGAGGAAATCAAGAAGCGCCTACTACAAGAAGAGAAAGCGGAAGATTTCGATCCCTCAGCCCTGCGACGCTACCAGCTGGACCGGTTAAAGTACTACTACGCAGTGTTGACCTGCTCATCTCCCACTGTGGCAAAGGCGCTGTACGACGCTATGGACGGCCGCGAGTACCTCTCCTCCGCTAACTTCTTCGACCTCCGCTTCATCCCCGATGACGTATCATTCGACGATGAGGCCCCACGCGACGAAGCCACTACCATCCCGACCGGGTACCGTCCTACCGAGTTCGTAACCGACGCGCTGACGCACTCGCGCGTCAAGTTAACGTGGGACGCCGAGGACACAAAACGCAAGGAGGTTCAAAAGCGGGCCTTCAGTCGACAAGAAATGGACGAGAACGACCTCCAGGCCTACATTGGAAGCGCATCGGAGTCGGAAGAGTCAGAAGCGGAAGCCGAGGCCGAGGCTGGGAAGGGAGATCGCCGGGCAGCATTGCGCGCGGCACTGGGCCTTGGAGGAGCGCCGACGAAGGCGAAGGGTCGGAAGCAGGAGGCCCCGGTCGGCGATATGCAGATCAGCTTCACACCCGGCCTCTCGGCGACGGCAAAGAAGGGCCCTGTATTCGAAAACGAGCCGATTATCGAAGAAACGACGGCCGAGCAGTACATTCGCAAGGAACGCGAGCGGAAAGCCAAGCGGAAGGAGAAGGCGCGGGCACAGCGCCTCGGCTTGCCGGACCCAACAGAGGCTGCAGACGACAAGTCTGCGGACGAGGCAAAGCCCACAGACAAGAAGGACAAGAAGGACAAGAAGACGAAGAAAGACAGGAAGGCCAAGTCGCCCATCCCCGATGAAGAAGACCCCTTCAACGACCCCTTCTTCACAGACCCCGTCGCCGCTCTCGACGCCGCTAAAAAGGCGCGCAAAGCCGAGAAGGCGCGTCTCCGCGCCGAACGCGCGGCAGAAGAAGCAGCGACGTCTGCGCAGCGCGCCGAGCTGGAGCTGCTCATGGACGACAATACGAATTTGCGCCACTTTGATATGCGCGAAGTTATGAAGGCCGAGAAGGAGGCTAAGCGCGGGGGCAAGAAGGGGAAGAATCGGGGGAAGAAGGGCGGGGACGATGGGGCTGAGACGAAGCCGGCGGATAATTTTAAGATGGATGTCCACGATCCGCGGTTCAGTCGCTTGTTTGAGAGTCATGAGTTTGCGATTGATCCCACAAATCCGCGGTTCAAGGGTACGGAGGGTATGAAGGCGTTGTTAGAGGAAGGGCGGAGAAAGAGGGCAAGGGAGGGGGATGTCGAGGGGGCGCCGGAGGAGAAGAAGGCCAGAGCGAGCGGCACATCACGGAGCGAGGATATCACGCAGCTGGTGGAGAAGGTCAAGAATAAGTCGAAGCACTAGTTCTAGGGTGCACTTGTATTTATAGGCTCTACATACCATCGTGCTCGGTGTATCAAAGGGGAATAGGGGCATATTCTGCACCCAAGCGCAACGCCTTTAAAAGTTCATCAAATCTGGATACGGTCAGCGCAACTCGAAACCGCGGTGCGAAACTTGCCTCTCCCAAACAGGCCCCTCTTTGTCCAGTCCATTGCTAACATAAATCGCGTGCGGAAGCTGACGCTCTGCGCGAAGTAGATGCTACGCCAGAGGTAGACAGCCATGAGGCCGCCGGCGAAGTTCATTCCACCGATGTCGAACACCGCTGCATTGCCGACGTACGCCAGACTGCCGAGGTTGTGGTACTCAAACGCCTTGTACACCGATTCATCCAGGTCTCCGTAGTCCACCTGATTGAGTTGCATCCCAGGAGCCACTTGCGCCATCCGGTTGAGCTTTTTGGCGAGGTACGTGCCCTGCTGGTGCGCGCGCTGAGCCGTCGCTGGCAAGCTCGTCAGCTTGCTGTCAATCTGTATCAGCAGCTCTCTCAGCTCGCCGAAATCCAGCGTCCCACTCTTATCCTTGTCATACTGCTGGAACAGGCGATCTAACCGGCGCAAATGGTCCGCGGCCTGAGGAAAGCGCTGCCGAACCTTTTTGGCCACGGATCGCCAGTCGGAGAATGTGATTTGCATGTCCTCTGGGTTCTTGCCCTTCTCCCACGCCAGCGTGCGTAGGAAGGTGACGATATGGTCTGAGACATTGTTTTGCACGGTACTGCAATCGCCAATGGCATAGACGTCGCCAAGGGGCGCGCCGATGAGGCGGAGATGTGTGTCGGTTTCCAGGGCGTGCTTGTTCTTCTGTACCTCGATTTTGTCCGCAAGGCGCCTGCTGAATTCGGTTTGGGCTGTGTTGTTAGCCGGGCCCCATAACATTGGGGTCACTTATCACTTACCGACGCCCGTTGACCATAGACAAAAGCCCATGGGGATTTCCTTGACAATGTCCTTGCCCTGTTCATCCTTTTGTGAGAACAGAATCCGGTCCGGTTTGACTTCCTTGACTCTCGCGTTGGTTTGCACATCGACGGAATCGTGGGCAAAGCGCGCCTGATATCATCAGCATATTTCTCTCTCGTCGTCTGGGGAGCATACTTCTGCGTAACGCGACAGGGTCTCGTCGTAGGTGTTCAAGATGTGACCTCTGCTCTGAACCAGATGCACAGAAATCTCGCAGCGCAAGATCTTGGGGAAGAATTTGACAACATCTTCGTTGAGCATGTCATACAGCTCGGCGGCAAACTCGACGCCGGTAGGCCCACCGCCGCAAATCACGAACGAGAGTAGTCGCTTACGCTCCTCGTCCGTCGTTGTAGGGAGAGAGGCGGTCTCGAGGTTCCGAATGACCGTGTTGCGGATCAAGCGCGCATCATTGGTGTCCTTCAAGAAGTGGCAGTTATCGAGGCCTTTGACGCCGTGCGGGTTCGAGACAGAGCCAACGGCAACAACGAGCTTATCGTACGGGAGGTAGAAGCTCTGGTTTTCGCCATTCGGACCGACGGCGGTGCATTCCACCAGCTTTTCCGAGAACTCAATATCTTGAGCCATGGCTTTGAGAAAGTGTCCGTCTACGCGCGCTACAATGGGTCGGATAGGCTCAACCAGCGACCGGAGGTCCAGCGTACCAACGGTGGCGGACGGCAGCATGGGCGTGAAGAGGAAGTGATTCGATGGTGATACAACTGTAACATGGTACTCGTCCGGGTCGATATTCTTGAGCAAGGACACAGCGCCCCACCCGGTGCCGAGGATTACGAGCTTTGGTTTGTGCTTCTGGTTCTTCTTTGATGGGGAGTCATCATCGTCAATTAGGTGTTCAGCAATAGGTAAGTTCTTCGGGCCTCCACGCCTAGGATTCAACGCAACCTCTGAAACAGAAACATCTTCATTGGCAGGCCCCATGCGATATGTCGTCGCATCGTAGATGAAGACGGCGGTCAGGACACCGCCGAGGGAAAGGACAACGAAACCGAGCGCGGCAAAGCTTCGATATGCGTATCGGTAGACGCGCGATTTTGTGTTCGGCAGTGGCCTTGTGGAGAGTGCTCGGCCGGTCGTATAGATAGCAGTTCTAGACCATCTCCTCGTGAGGTGGCTCGCGATTGTGGGTCCAGAGGGTCTAGAGCGGGAGGTGAGGCTGTACAAACGCGCTGGCGTGACTGGAGACGTGCGCAATCGTGTTCGACATTGAGATGAAAGAGCTTGTGATACTTTGAAGGTGTTCGATGGTGTGGAAACCCGCGCAGCTCGTGCGAATGCCTGGTGAAATGGCATGGTGAGAAGGCGCGCGGGGAACGCGCAACGAGCGGGTTGTTGTTGTCAGAGCCACAACAGGAGTGAGAGGATCAATGGCAAGAAGGGAAGACAACCACAGACTAGGCAAAGAGGCGAGCAAAGGGTGATTATGTAAGAGGTGAGAAGATGTCGCGAAAAGAAGATAGCATAACTAGTTCTAGTGGATGAGCTGTGAATATGGCCCACTTGCGCGAATTTCCGGTGACGTAGACTCCAGGTTGCCAGGGGTCCGTGGGAGTCTTCTTCCCAGGGTTCCTCGCGGGCAAAGCGGGCCGTCTTGAGGCACGTTCACGGCCAAACCGGAAGCGACCGCAAACAAGCTTCCAGCTAAGCACCGGGAACGTGTACCGGTAAAACAGCTGATCTGCTCACATCCAAGATAACCCCGGGCTACTGTTGTATGTGCTATCAGGTTAAGATGTCCTTTCGTTCTTGGTAAAGATCATGAAGCATGATAGTCTCAGTAGTTCCTAAACTCAACGCTGTGTTAGCTCATTCTGAGGTCAGCTAACCCATCCTATCTCGGTATCTTGAGCTCGAAGGGAACACCAATCAAGTATGCATCCTGGCAGCTCCGTAAGATGATCATGCAAGCTGAAGTAATGCTCCACCTCGCGCCTTGCTGCCAGGTACGCTGTGCTAACCGCTTGAGCGGAGACTGCGTGATAACCGGCCATCCTCTTAGTGTACTTGAGCAAGCAGCATCTGCGTCCAAAGCGATGCATTAATATACTATGTGTACGCCTCTTCCTTTAAGTACAGCCTTGTTCGCAGTGCCAACGCAGTCTTTTAGCATTGTTATTTGGTTATAGATTTAAAAAAGTAGGTTTTCATCAGCAAATATCTCCTTTGGTGTAGTGGTTATCACTTTGGATTTTGATGTATATCTTCAAAAGTTCCAACAACCCCGGTTCGACTCCGGGAAGGAGATTACTTTTTCGTTTCACGATATTTTTCATTGATCCGAGAGGATATCTCTTTTTGTGTAAATTCACAAGAGTCCTAGCCGTTGATTTTGGGCGGAGGGAGCATCATCAGGACCAGAACTTGTCTCAGCCTTGGACAGCAGCCTTTCGGCAAATCTGGGACACTTCGTTGTTCCAATACGAGTGTCAACGAAGTTTAAAAAATGGCCTCGAGGATCGATCTCAAAGAATTGAAGGTTCTTGGCAGTCGCTGATTAACGAAGCAAGCATGCACATCCCCTCCAAACTCCACCATATCCTCATCACCAACTCATATCAAAACAACCCCCCAACCGCCCCCGATGTCCCTCCAGAACCACTACCACCCCACCCTCCCACCGCCGCACTTCCTCCCCCACCACCACCTCCTCCAACAGCCGCAACCCCATCTGCCGCCCCCGCCGCCGCTCCAGTCCCAGTACTTCCCCCATTCAGCTTCTCGAACTTCCCGCGGTCATCCTGCTTCCTCCCGCCGTCACAGCAACACCAGCATCCATACCACCATGTCGTAAAGATGCCGAGGAGAAGGATGAACACGCCGAAGCTAACTGCGATGATTATGGTTGCGCGCTGTGAGGCGGGTTTGCAGGAGGAGGGTTCGCATTTGTGGTATGTGCGGAAGTGGAGGAGGGGCATCGTTGTGGCGCGTGGGGGTTGATTGAAGGAGTGATGGGCGATACAGTATGTATTGTGGTGATAGGCGATGCAGTATGGGTTGTGAGGATTTGGAGGTTCGAGAGTGTGTATCAAATCTGGCGACCAGGCTGAAATGATCGACAAGGAAGGTGAGATGGCTTGTCAATGGAGATCAGAAATGCAACACCACCAGTAGACGGGCTTCGAAAAGAACCTTATATGCGCCTTGCGACATGCTTCAAGGGATGGCGTAGGCGAGCTGAATGATATCCAGTGGTTGAAACCCACGATGCGGCTGAGCAACAGAGCACACTAGCCAGATTCGGGAATTCCATGCGCGCCATGGCGTTGTGTACGACCTCACGATAGTACGAAAATAGACATAGTCAGCGGAGAGACCGAATTTCCCCTCGACACGGTGTTCAATACGCTTGATTGTTGTTGGCTCAATGTCATCCAGACTGGTCGTTATTGACCTGCGATGCAATGCCCTTCCACCCTAAATCTCAACAATCTTCTTCTTCCCCTTCCGATCCACCCTCTCATCCCTCGGATCAAACCCCCCATTCCCCCACAGCGCCCATTCGGGCGTCTCATCGCCCACATAATCATCCGGCCCAAACGGCTTCCCACTCTCCAACAACTCGAAGAACCGGCCATAGTCAATGCGCGTGCACCACTTGCCGTCGCGCCGGAAGCGGGTACTCGCCAGCAAAACACAGCAGCTATGCGCATGCTCCGCCGCAATTCCGTAGCTCAGTCCGCGCCGCGCAAGCGCCGCATCTAGCGCCACGACAAAGGCCTGGACTTCAGCGTAGAAGGGCACGTTTTGCATGGTCAGGCCAGCGGCGGAAGACGTCGATGTGCCGCAGTATGTAACACCCTTAACCTCCACAAAACACGGCAGGCCCTTAGCGACCAGATCCGCGTACCCCTCGACCTCTTCGTCAATGTTGAAGCCCTTCACCAGCGTGAGCCGGAAAACGGTGCGTTGCTCGAAGCGTTTCTCGCGCAGGATGTCGAGACAGCGGTTGAAACGCTCCCAGAAGTCGCGGTGGAGGGGTCGGTCGATTTTGCGCAGGCTCTCCTTGTTGGAGGCGTCGATGGAGACGTAGAGTTGGGTGACGTGGTTCAGGGTTGCGAGTTGGTCGGGATGTTGGGCGTTACAGACGAGGAAGGAGGAGATGTGCTCCTTGTGGAGCATGGCGGTGAACTCGTTGATGTAGGGGTAGAAGATGGGCTCGCCGACGAGGCTGAGTGCGCAATGCCGGATACGCATGGCTTCTGCGAAGCGTTCGGCACGCACGCCGGGAACGCCTTTCATCATCTTGATCTTCTTGTAGTGGCCCTCCTTGACCCCCTCGAAGATGACCTCTGGCGGGTCGACCTTCCACCTCCACGTCGTTCCGACGGGGTTAGTTCCGTGCCGCCAGCAGAAGACGCATTTGTTGCTACATGACAGCGATGGTGTGGATTCCATGCATAGGTGAGACTTGATGCCGTAGAACGTGAATTTGTAGCAGGATCCTCGGCCACGGAGCGCTGATTTAGTCCAGCGGCAGATTTTGACTCCAGAGTGTGAGCCCACGATCGTGTAGCCTTGCTTTGTAAGGGACGCATATGTTGGAGAAGACTTGGGAACCATCTCTTTGAGGGGGGCAGGTGCTGGTGCCGGTGCTGAGGCGGGCTTGTTGAAGGTCGTAAAGTCAATGGCCATCGGTGCCCACTCCTCTGAGTCCTTTTCAACAGGTCCCCGGTAAGATTTTCCGAGGTCCTCAACATCGTCCAGCGAAGCCTTCGAGTTAGGTTCTTCCTCTTCCTCGTCACTTGCCACCGCGTTGCCGCTTCCCGCTACGCCCTCACCCAACCCCTTTCCGGCGGCGATGTCGACGAGAGCGTCTTGAATGCCAGACAACCACTCTCCTAACCGCTCCGCTCCGTCAGTTTTGACGTCTCCCATGCCGAGCGGGAATGCTCTCTTCCTTCCGGTGAGTTTTGCAAGCCACTTGTCAACCTCAATGGCCTGTGAGCAGAATCCCTCTTCTTCTGTCGACCAGCCCTCCCTATCACCGAATCCGAAAACCGTGTACCCGACAAGGCCAGACAGCGGAGCTGTGTCGATCCGGAAGTCATGGTGTGTCTCTTGCAGGTGCTCAAGGAACGTGTTCAGAACAGTGTCTATGTCGTATGACGGAATGATGACGATGTAGAAGTATTTTGTATTCGGCTCATCCTTGGGCGCTGTGATGAAGAAATCATCGTATTCAACGTACGACAAGTCATGGGACTGTGTCTCCAACAGCTTAGAGTCACCGGCCGTTTGACGATCCCGTATCCAGTGGTTGATATCACTGGCCAGCTTTCCTGCGGCCTTCTCGGTGGTGCCAGCGAGGGAGGAGTAGAATATAAGCGGGCGTATACTGTCGACTTCTGGGTCGAAGAGCATCTGCCCGGTACCTTTCGGCCGGCGAACCTTCTTGCCCGTAACACGCTTAGGGCTGTGTTTGCGTGCACTCTTGACAGGCTTGGGTTTCTCGGTATATACCACTGCCTTCTCTCCGGACTCTAATGGACGGATCTTAATATCCACTAGAGGCTTTTCAACGCCGTCTACCAAACTGGGCCGGGGCGAACCCGGCATCGAAGACACCATAGCTTTCGGACGTCCATACTTGAAGTGTAGGCCGAGACGCACAGCAGTCAGGAGGCCAAAGGTGGAAAGAATGATCGGGATGCGATACTGGTGCCACAGATCCAGCAGCTCTTTTTGGTGTCAGTTTCTTACAATAAGACCCAATGGACAGGAGCATTTACCATCAGGAAGCTCAAAAATACCGAGGTGCGGCATCGTGACAGTCCTTGCCGTTCGGAAATGTGAGTGGCTGTCGAAGTATCCTCAACACACCAGTGAGGCTGACAATTCACTTCTGGCTGACATCAAAAAGTTCAGAATCGCGACACTCGCGTGGGGTCGGAACGGCAGAGAGTTCCCCGCTTGATGTGGCGGTGCATTTTTGGTCCCTGCAGGGGCCAAGTGGGTGGCTTGCGGGTCAACTGAACGCGTCGAAAGCGGAGCTCACCTGCTGTTAGCGGGTTGAAGCCGACGAACAACAAAACACAGCGCCTACTCCAATACCCCTCCACGAAGACCGTCACCATCGCGATCGGAGCATGGCCCATTGCTTCTGAACTCTACACCATGAATAGCCTCCTCAACCCCCTCAAGATGAGCTCGGAGCACTGCGATCAGCTCGCCACGCCGAACGGCTTCTCCTTCGGTCTCTCCATCTTCATCGTCGTGGGCATCTTAGTGTCATATCTCCCTCAGCACCTCAGAATTATAGCGCGACGATCTTCAGAAGGTCTCTCTCCATACTTTGTGCTCCTTGGGACGACGTCAGGCACCTTTGCGCTCGCCAACATCATCACCCTTCCGACATCTCAGGCCGACATTGGATGCTGTCGTGAGATCAGCCGTGTTGCTTGCGCGGCGGGGCTGCTGGGCATCGCACAAGTAGCCGTACAATGGGGATGCTTCAGCGTTATGTACGTCTCCTTCGGGTAGCTTAAGCCCCTTGCTGACCCTATGCAGAATGTTTCTCTTCCTCATTTTCTTCCCCACTCCGGGTCCTGAAGAGCATGTCCCTGGATCCCCTCGACCGGCTACCTGGCGCGATGCGCTCACCGTGGCGGCTATCTCCGTTGCGCACTTCGTTATCGTCATTATAATTTCCATCGTCTTTCTCCTCTGGTACCCAAATCTCCTCCAAGGATGGGCCACATTCCTGGGCGTCTGCGCGGCGCTCCTGGCTTGTATCCAGTACCTGCCGCAGCTGTGGACGACATGGAGGCTGCAACACGTCATGAGCTTGAGCATACCCATGATGTGCATCCAGACGCCCGGCAGCTTCGTGTTTGCGGGCAGTCTTGCGGCGCGGCTGGGGTCGTCGGGTTGGAGCTCGTGGGGCGTGTATATTGTTACGGGATGCTTGCAGGGCTGCTTGCTGGCTATGGCTATACGCTTTGAGCTTAGGGATAGGAAGAAGGCACAGCAAAGCGGAGGTCTGCGTGTACCGGATGAGCGCTCGCCCCTCCTCTCTCACGTCTCCCCGCAGCTGCTTGGTCGCGATTAACGATACCCAGGATAGGAAGATGGGTTGGTGGATATATCATGGCACACGGGACGAACTGGGACTGTAAATTTTGTACGACGAAGAGTATCAGCGCTCTCTTCAAGTCATGACTGTTTCTGGCATAGCGGAATTCATCGTGGTCAGTTCCAGCCAAACACTCTGGACTACAATACATTGCTCGATATCTGGTGCGCTAG